ATCGGGCTCATATATATATACATATGTATATATATATATGTAAATATATGTATATATGTATGTAGGTTCAGATACTCCGGCGCTGCAGTTCAACAACTGGTTGGGGCAATCTTGCCATGTACTTGCTTTCTTTCCGCAGGAATGGGCTGATTGTAAATTTTCAAATGTCAACTTCAAAGCCAGCCTGCCTGGGCTTGAGAAATCGGTTTTACATCGCGCAAGAAATAGGTCGCATCTTTATACACGCAGGGGTGTTCAAAATGTTTGGTTACACAAAAGGAACAAGTTGTTATGGAAATGTGATCGTGCCACGAACTACATGGCTTTCAGGTTGACAGCCCATAGGCTTATACCTAGAGCCATGCAGTGCTACCATCACACGACTTCCTGCCTGTCGTAGTGGTTCTGGATTTATGAGTGGTTTACTCAAGGCTTACAAGCTGGGGGTGGCAGGAAAAACTTTCAGAAGTTCCGAAGAATCTGGTTTCACCCGTCACATTGAGCCCGACAGAATTGGGAGTCTGTATGTAGGTTCAGGGCCCGGGGCTTGGATGTTTTTGTGCCCAGGGTTGTCCGAATGTAAACGTTTTTTTGGTGAATTTGCTTTAAAGTTAGGGTAGCGCTTAGCAAAATTCGGAAAATGATTTGCAAGCGACTGCTTGAAATTTAAATACGGTCAGGCCAAAAGAACTGCGTTAGAAAGTATCAAAACACAATGCGTAAAAGATTATTACGGGGCAGCTAAGCAGACAGACATGTGCACGTTTGACACTTGTTTGCTCGTTTTGCAAAAAGCATTCCAATTAATGTAGCTTGTCTATGGGTGTATTGTAGCTTGCATGGCTCCGGGAAAGCTTAAGGAGGAATATGCGTAGTGGTTGCAGGTACATCAAGAATTACGCTGGCCTTTATACGCAGGATTGCATGTACCTTGCGTGCGGGGTGACAGAGAGCATGATAAGGATCCTGACAAAAATGAGCTCAGGCAATCTGAGGAAATATATGTGGGTTTGGAGCTTAAAGGATTTACAAAATCCCGGCACGTGAGGTTCTATGGGGAGGTACTCCCTAGAAGTGTTACCAGTTATGCAGTAGTTTGTAGTTATCTACAGCTATTCTCAGCTATTTAGTAGCAAGCAAGTCGTAGTTTTCCAGCTTAAACATAATTGCAGATAGCTGGATAACTGTCCAAGGCTCAAGGCATGATTTTTTCTGGGGCGGTCCATGATTTGGGTTGTTTCCTCACGTTTTATGAAATTTCTATGTCCGTGGTGGGTTTTGTATGACTTCCAGCACTTTATGGTGTCTTGGACTGTTTTCGAGCGTTTCCCAGTAAAGAGCATTGGATATGCATGATCAAGTATTTTCCTTCCCAGAGCACGCACTTGAGAAAATCAGGAGCTTGGAAGTGTGTGTGTTGTTGATTATGAATGTATTGTATCGACTGTGCAGGTTGGGCTTAAGACAAGATAAAGAAGCTAAGAGCTTGTGCAGGTAGTGAGCATGTGTGAAACCGTTGCAACTCGTTTATGCATGAAAATCGGCAAACCAAAGCAAAATGCGGAAGTCACGTTGCAACCAAGAATTGGTGTAATTATGCAAGAGACGAGTAGATTTTTCGTGACAATGCGCCGCCATCCCGCGAGAGCAAAGCTGCTCAATCTATCATTGAACATCGGGTTGCGTGCGGCTTCCTTCGGGTTGTTGGTGTACCCTTGTGCTCATGTCTTCGTGAACATGTTGCCAGTCGACAGGAAATCGGCTGTGGTTCCCCATGCCTTTTTCCAAGGTGATGGTTTCCGACCTGATGAAACAATCCCTTTTACACAAAGCAGTTCCAATGATGAAGCACGAGGTGGACAGAACCGACGCAAAGGTGGCGTAGATGAGATAGATGAAGACTCAGCCGTTTTCAACACAGGTGATTTCAATCCCTACGAAATCCTAGACCTTTCCCCATTCGACGATGTCGGTGAAGATGAGCTCCGTGCGGCCTTTAGGAAGCAAGCCAAAATTTTCCATCCTGACGTTCCAGGTACCGGAGACACTGAAAAATTCCAACTGATTAAGCGAGCAGTTGAAGAGCTCGCATCATTGGGTATGATTGGTGAATGGAAAAGGAAGCCTGCAGCAGTCATCAATCGAAAAGAGAGGGGTCAAACCGTGTCGGAAGATTATTGGGAATTGCGTGGACGTGATTTTTTCGCCGAACTTGAGACTGAGTTGACGGATGAGCTTAAGATGAGGTTCAATGAGTCCGATAAGGATTTGTCGGACGAGCAGCTCAGGGGTCGATTTCAGAAGGAAGATGAGTTTTGGGAGGAATTCCGAGCCCGTCAAGCAGATCAAGAAGTCTTTGATAGAGTGAAGGACTGGATCGAGAAGAAGCGTGAGCAACGTCGGCTCCTGTTGCGACAGAGGCTCAGAGGTGTGTCGCAAGGCTCTGGCGATGCTGACGTTCCATCCGAACCCGCTTCACCTCGCACACTGCGCATGGTGGAGCAGCGCATCGGTCAATGGCTGGGTCTCCCACGCAACATGTTGACAGACATGACATTGGACGAGATTGGTTTTTTCGACCCATCAAGCTGGGACGATGTTTCCGTTTGCTTGATGTTGCTAGAAGAAGATTTTAATGCCGACCTGGTAGCTGTAATGGAAAAGAAAGGCGAGTCAAGTAAGATACAGCTGCCGGATTGGGTTAAGACCATCGCCGACTTTGCAGATTTTGTGGAGCTGAAGCTCTAGCACTAGTACGTTTCACCACAAGTTTTCCGAGTCAACGAGCTTGGCAAAAGTTCTTCATGCGTCAAGCCATACCTACAATGGCAAACTGTCATTGTCGACACATGAGGCAACATGCATCCATTCCAGGCTCAGCACTTGCATGCCAAAGCAAGCTTTAAGATGAACAATGGTCATAGCTTCAGGAGGTCGGTGTCCAGCAGAATCTAATCTTGGTGCTCCGCTTTTGTGGATCTCAGCTGCTTTTCATCTGCATGCTTGCGTTCTTTCACCTTGTGAACAACACTCTGCATTCATGCTGCAGACCAGTCCCATGACACTCCAGTCTGACTAGAAAAGATTTCCAAAGGAACTGTTTGATTAAGCACGGCGCTCGATGACAAGCACTGCAGGTCAACATGTGGAGGGAGAGCCATGTTTACGCAAGGCTGACATTGTGGACAGTCCACTAAGATGATGTCGCCGTCACAGCCTCAGCTGCAGAACGCACCTTCCGAGGCCTGTTCTGGGGAAGGAATTCGACCTGCAAGGCCACCTGGTCCTCCTCAGTATCCGCATGCGCCTCCGATGCATGGCTACCCCATGGGCTACCCAGGCCATTTGGCACCAGGCCCAGTCTTCGTTTCATGTCAGCCTCTCGTGCAGGCATGCCACCTGGCATGCCACCTGGCATGCCACCAGGAATGCCACCTGGAATGCCCCGTGGAATGCCGCCTGGCATGCCGCCTGGCGTCCCGCCCGGGATGCCGCCTGGTATGATGCCGCCACCGCCAGCGTATCCTGTTCCGCCTGGTTATCCAGGAGCTTTGTTGGAGTAATCTTTGATTATTGACACGTCAAAGTGCATGAGCCGACATTTGTGCGCAGGACAGCCATATGGGATGGCACATTCGAAGGTTGGGCAGCAGAACACTGTGCTCGTCAAGCAAAACCCATCTAAAGAATGCAATGTAGTTGCTACGTGTTGGAACTTGGCATCACCCTGTGCCAATCTCCCCTTTCACACATACGAATGACAGGAAAAGAAAGAAAGGAAAAAAGACAAGGAGAGGTCCTTGCCTCAGCCTGTGGACAAGTTGATGAAGTTGCTACTTGTTATTTGCCCTGGAAGACGGAAGAAGAAGCGAGAGCGAGATAGCTCTTCGAGCAGTAGGGGTCCCAGCTCTGCTGTTTGCACTGGGTAACGTTGATGCTGGAGGTGTCCGTGTGAGCTTGAGGAGACTTGTAATGAAGCGCCATGGGAGATTTCCGAGTACAAAAGGCTAGCAGAGAGTTCAGCGTGCCTCAGTGTGCAGGTGGAAAGCAAAGCAACAGCAGCGGCGACAAGAGAAAGAAGAAAAAGAAGGCCTTCAGAACAGTGAAGTTGGGTCCACTATCTACTGCTTGTTTTGCTCGAAATGTTGGATCGAGATAGGACTGATGTTTCGAGCGATGATGAACGTTTTTCTCTACACTACAGATGTTGTGTTGCCAACATTACGTACCCCACCAGAACCCTGAACAGAACTCCGAACCTAAACTCCAGACCGAACTCGGAACCCTCGCCCGAACCCCGAACCCGAACTCCAGACTGAACTCCGGGCCCGAACCCTGAACCGAACCCTGAACCCGAACTCCAGACCAAGTTCGGGAACCTCGCCCGCTCGAACCCGAACCCTCATGCCTGGCGAGCACTAAAGGAACAATCCAAGCTCCGAAGCTGCAGCACCATCAGAAACCCCAAAGATCACCTGACCTCCTGGCCTAATCCTTTCGCCCTCAGCCCTGGAGCTACACAGAATAGCTCAGGGAGAGGGCTTCCAAAACCCCATCACCGCACTCCTGACTTTGTGCAGTCACTTGAGCCATGATTCACGGTCATCTGCTCTTGCGCAGGGGCCATGCTTCGATTGCCCTTCTGCGTGTCCTACGAACAGTCAGCCATGCACAAACACACGATGTATCATGTTGAGTCCTTGCCTCCTCGGTGCGAAAGTGTTCGGCAACGAAAACACTGCAACAAGGGTACGTAATTGCATTGAAAGGCGTACGCACTGTGATGCTTGATCTTGTCAAAGCTGCAGTGCGTTGATGACAAGGACAAGAAAGCAAGAAAAAGGACTGCCAGAAGATGCATTCAGTGTAAGCCGGATGTCAACAGGACCTAGGTGGGCCTAGCTAAGCTAGCAACTCATTCGAGAATCCTGGCAGGCTTTTTTACTTTGGAATCCTTAGGATTTTGGATCGACATTTGGGCAATCCCGCAGGTAGACTTAACTGTCTTGTTGTGGGATGCTTGTGGGACTTAGGAGCCCCACTGGAAATGTTGACGATTCCGCGACGGCAGCACCGTACCTAAGTGTTTGCTGTTACGTATACATGAAGATGTGGTGAAGTTTCGCGGCTCCCGCACCTCAGGCACGTGCCCAAGCTGCCTTACGAGCAGCTGCTGCGGCAGCTGCCGTTGCAGGGGCACGCAGGCGGCGGAGCATGGCAGACCTTGGCAACGGCATACGTCTCTAGCCCACTTCCCTCGGGTAGGCGGAGTGCTTCTCCTCTCGCTGGTGAAGATGTCGCAGGCACTGATGATGGCATGTTTCACACGATGTGCGGTTTTTGTCGTCACGCCTGATGATGTTGTTCCGGAAGCAGGCTCGCGTGCGAAAGAGATGGCTGAAGCGCAGCAGGTGGGCAACATAGCCTTAGCAAAGTCGAGAGGATCAGCCTGGGGTGAAGTGTCAAGGCAGAATCAGAGCACGAAGACCAGGCACGCATTTAGTCCAGTTCATGGTGCATCTTCCAGTTCTTGCAGCTTTTGCAGCCACAATCTAACGACTGGCTAGAAGGCTTAATCGCTTCCCCCTAATAATA